CCCCGGCCCCCAAAGCGGAGCCCTCGCGGCCAGTGAGGTCGGCCGACGCCGGGGGTTCGTGCCGCAACCCCAGTTCCCTGCAAGCCGGCTGGTACAGCCCCTGCCGAGTTCTCAGCCTCTCCCCCTTGCCCGCACCTGGGCTTGCAGGGTGAGCCGGGTCGCGTGCAGGCCGTGTGCGGCGCTCCGGGAGTGCAGACGAGGCCGGTGGGCTCGGGGCTGGGTAGGCCTGGCGGGGAGCACGGCGCCAGCACCCTCTATGGGCCGGCCACTCCGATCGTGGGCGGCTGACACCCCCCCCCACAGCCCCCATCCCACGGGAGCGTGCGCAGCACTCCTCACTGGGGCAAGGGCCGGGCAAGGGCTAGCATCTTTCCAGGCTTGTGCAAAGAGGGTTGACTTTACAGTTATTACCGCGTAGGCGGCCGTTGGCAAAGGCAGCTTGTGTTATTAAGAAACCAAAGTCAAAATCTTTTTTTCTTTTTCGTTTGAGAGACAGGGTCTCACTCTGTTGCCCAGGCTGGAGTGCAGTGGCACAGTCATGGCTCACTGCAGCCTTCAACTCCAGAACTCAAACGATCCTTCTGCCTCAGCCTCCCTAGTGGAGAGGATGACAGGCCCATCCTACCCTACCCGGTGAATTTGTTGGATTTTCTTGTAGAGATGAGGTTGCTCAGGCTGGTCTCAAAATCCTGGGCTCAAGCAATTCTCCCACCTCGGTCTCCCACTTTGTCTCCCAAACATAATCTTTAAATTTTAAAAAATGTTGACCTTAAGTAAACATACTACAATGTGTTTTGTACTTAAAACCCCAATTTGCATGTTCATCGGTTGAGAAAGCTTTTTAATCTGCAGTCTAAGCCAATAATTTTGCTTAATTTTCATGTGTTAAATGTTCATCTGGCCTGTGAAGCAAAAAAAAGTGGTATACTAGAGAAATGGTGAAATCAGTCAAACTATCTTTTTCTATTTTTCTCACTTAACACAGCAAGAAATTGGCAGTTTGGGGCATTTTGTTTGGGGACAAAGGGTAATCTTTTTAAGCTGTTCTCTGCAAGTAGAGTCATAAATCTTGATGAAAGAATGTGTTCCTCCGTGTGTGTTTTTATAATTTATTAATGTTAGTTGCTTGCCAGTCTGCCTTGGTGCAGTATGTTTGTGTGCATGTATATAAGTGTCTTTAGAAGTAAGTGTGGGCAGTTGTTTGTAGATGTTTCGAATTTGTAGTTCCTCTGTAAAACTGCTGCTCTGGAAAATATGCAAGCTATTTTTAAACCTAGAACTAGTCAGAGAGTAAGTAGGTACATTTGGTACCAAAATGTATTCTAAGCCAATTTTAATTACTTTTGATTACACATGGCACAAACACTCTGCTACTGACGCCATTTTTGATTACTCATGTTATTTGGGATACAGTGTGCTGGACTTGCTAAGGAAGAATTTTGTAAACTAGATATGTTGTCTTTGTATACATTGTAGGTGAGGCTTTGTAGGTCGGTGTGAACTGATTTTGTTTTTTGTAATCTGTGACCAGGAGGGCTAAGACACCCAGGAAACCTGTGTTGAAAAAAGGATCCCAGACGAACCTTAAGGACCCAGTTGGGGTAAGTTCTCCCCATGGATTTCTGTGTGTGTCTTCAGTCTTTTCTGTCTGTGTATGTCTGGAGAGAAGGAAAAAAAAAGATGAGTCAATAGAGTCAAAGAAGAGTTAGCTCCATGGATGTGCTGAAGGTGTAAACTAGTTCTAGCTGTAAGATTTGTTTCTCTCTAGAACTTATTAGTCCAGGAAAGTTAAGTCTTTGGTTGTAGGCTGCATACCCTCTAGAACGAATTATAATTGAAAAAGTTTCATGGTTAAAAGTCCCCATCTGCCGGGCTCGGTGGCTCAGCCTGTAATCCCGCGCCTTTGGGAGGCTGAGGTGAGTGGATTGCCTGAGCCCGCGGGTTCGAGACCCGCCTGGGCAGCAAGACCTCATCTCTACAATAAATCAAAAAATCAGCTGAGCGTGGTAGCGCGTGCCTGTAATTCCGGCTACTCGGAAGGCTGAGGCGGAAGGATCGCCGGAGCCCAGCAGGCGAGGCTGCGGTGGCCGGGAGCGGCCACTGCACTCTAGTCTGGGCGACAGAGTGAGACTCCAACTCAAAAAAAAAAAAAAAAAAAGTCCCCATCTGCTGGGTGTGGTGGCTCACACCTGTTATCCCAGCACTTTGGGAGATGAAGACAAGAGTATTGCCTGAGCTCGGGAGTTCAAGACCAGCCTGGACAGCTTGGCGAGCTCTTGTCTCTACAATTAACCAAAAAATTAGCCAGGCATGATGGTGTGCTCCTGTAGTTCCAGCTACTTGGAAGGCTGAGACGGAAGGATAACCTGAGCCCAGCAGGTCGAGGCTGTGGTGGCCATGAGCGTGCCACTGCACTCCAGCCTGGGCGACAGTGAGACTCCAACTCAAAAAAAAAAAAAAGTCTCCAGCTGGGTTCATCTCTGGAATGAGGGGACGCACTCTGCTCAGGTGAGCGGCACCGGGAGAGCCCCTCACTTCTTGAGACCAAGCTTCATAAAACCTTGGTACAGAGTGGCTTAACTCAGTCTAATGCCTGCACATAATTGCAGGAACTTTACTACTTTCAGGCTTGGGTACTTGCTTCTAAAAGCAAATGCCAAATTATGAAGGAAAAATGAAGCAAGCAAAAAGAATAGCAATTTTAAAATAAAATAAAATCAATGGCAAATCAGAGGCTTGCTTTCCTTGAAGGTGTTTGAGATGCCCTCATTGCCCCTGGAGCAGCATCCATGAGGTTGGAACCAGACCCTTTGCATATAGCTGGACCTGTTTTCCTCAGCCCCTCACTTCCCTTTTTCTTTTTTGAGTCAGGGTCTCACTCTCTTGTCCAGGCTGGAGTGCAGTGGCACGATCATGGCTATTGCAGCCTCCACCTGCTGGGCTCAGGCCTTGCTTCTGCCTCAGCCTTCCAGGTAGCTAGAAATACAGGTGCATTCCCCAGTGTCCAGCTAATTTAAAAAAAAAAAATTATTGTAGAGACAGGGTCTTGTCATGTTGCCTGGGCTGGTCTTGAATTCCCAGGTCCAGTCAATTCTCTTGCCTCAGCTTCTCAAAGTGCTGGGATTACAAGTGTGAACCACTGAGTTCGGCTGACTTTTCCTTTTTTACTTTTTTGTGAATTAAATGTTAGGTTAAACTGGCAAGTTTTTATTTATTTTTTATTTTTTTGAGTTGGCGTCTCACTCTATTGCCGAGACTGGAGTGCAGTGGCCGCTCCTGGCCACCGCAGCCTCTAGCTGCTGGGCTCCGGTGATCCTTCCGCCTCAGCCTTCCGGGTAGCTGGAATTACAGGCGTGCGCTACCATGCCCGGTTCATTTTTGATTTATTGTAGAGATAAGGGCTTGCCAAGTTGCCGAGGCAGGTCTCGAACCCGCGGGCTCAGGCAATCCACTCATCTCAGCCTCCCAAAGGCGTGGGATTACAGGCTGAGCCACCAAGCCCGGTGGCAAGGTTTTAGATTGACACCCTTTTCTGAATAATTTTAACAGTTTTGAAAGTGTCATTGTGTGATATGTTGTTGGCCTTTAGAGATTATCTTACTAGTATAACTATGATTTGCATACAGTATAAAAGTGAATACAGACTGTACGGTTTGATCTTTTTTGTTATCAACATTTTAGTTTTCTGTGTATTTAAAGTCTTCTCACATTGAATGTTCTGTTTGCATTTGTCAACCCCAAGCAGCAGATTTTGGTTTTCACAGCTCTTGGTTTATATGGATGTTAAATGGAGAGATCAAATGTTTGTTGAATGAGTGAATGGGAAGCTTTAATGAAACATCAGGTAAAAAGTTGGCCTCCGTTCTTTAAGCATTTTCTGCTGTTTCAGGTGTACTGCAGGGTGCGCCCTCTGACCTTTCCTGACCAGGAGTGTTGCATAGAGGTGATCAATAACACCACAGTGCAGCTTCACATGCCGGAGGGCTACAGGCTCAACCGGAATGGAGACTACAAGGAGGTAATTCCCACGAGAACCAAGTTGTTTTATTCTTGGTTGCCGTTTCCTGAGTGACTTCTACTGTTTTATTTATTTTTAATTATTATTTTTTTGAGTTGGAGTCTCACTCTGTCACCCAGACTGGAGTGTAGTGGCACGCTCCCGGCCACCGCAGCCTCAACCCTCTGGGCTCCGGCGATCCTTCTGCCTCAGCCTTCCAAGTAGCTGGAACTTACAGGCGTGTGCTACCACACCCGGCTAATTTTTTGATTTATTGTAGAGATGAGGTCTTGCCAAGTTGCCCAGGTGGGTCTCGAGCCCGCGGGCTCAGGCAATCCACTCATTTCAGCCTCCCAAAGCACGAGATTACAGGCTGAGCCACCGAGCCCAGCAACTTCTACCGTTTTAAATTTAACAGAGTTCATGTGTGATTCCACTTTGAAGGACAGATTTATTTCACCATAACCACTGCGTCTGGAGTGTCTTGACTTCTGGGATGCACAGACACATCCTGGGTGTGCTGCAGTTAGTGGCTTGCTGTGGGGAGGGTTTCTGACACTTTGTGTTTCCTGTGATTTAGAGCATGTGCTAGGGATGGTTTAATGTGGAATAAGAGATGACTCTGCTAGGCAGTTGATATGCCATTTCATTGTGGATACTAACGTTTAACAATAAGTACTGTGTGCTTGTGTCAACTTCTTATGAGGCGTTTAATTTTTAGTAAATACTGAGCAAACTCAATGATTGAGTTTGATTCAGTTTAGGGAATGCACCAAGCGGGTAGCTGAAGGGAAGACATAAAAAGTGAGAAGCCACAGTCCTGCCTTTAGGAAATTGCCAGCCTAGCTGAGACAGATGGTGAACAAATACCTTTCACCTGGTAGACAGGCAGTGTCTGTGCTGATGGGGAGCTCTGGGAATGTGGGTGGGGGCTGACCAGACTGTTCTTCTGGCTTCTACTGCCACTCCTGTGCCCTCTATTCAAGCGAAATTGCTCTTAAGGAGACCCCAGTGGTCTCTGCTGCTGGACCACATGTAGGCTGCCTTGCCCGTGTTCTCTTCTCAGCAGCATCAGAAGCCCTCCTGTCTCCCCTTCAGTGCTCCCTGCCTCCTCCTCTCACTGGCCACCCTCGGCTGGCTCTACATCCTTCTCCAGCCTCTGAGTAGAGTTGGGCTATGCCAGGGCTGTAAGCTCAAGCTACACTTTCGCTTGGCTTTAAATGTCCATTATTAGGTCAAAGCTCTGGAACTTTAACCTCCACCCTAAACCTTTTCTTCAGCTCTAAACTGAACATCCAGCCACTTACTGGATAGCTTTGCTTGGGTGTCCCAAGGGCATCTTGGATTTTACATATTCATAAAGGAGTTCTGGTTTTGTTTTCCTCTAAATATTTCCTCCAGGCTGGGTGTGGTGGCTTATGCCTGTAATTCCAGCACTTTGGGAGGCGGGAGGGTCCCTTGGGTTCAAGACCAGCATATTGAGACCTTGTTTCTATAAAAAATTAGCCGAGCATGGTGGTGCGTACCTGTAGTCCCAGCTACTCAGGAGGCTGAGGCAAGAGGATGAGGTAGATCTCCTGAGCCCAGGAGGTCAAAGCTGCGGTGAGCTGTGATGATGCCACAGCACTCCAGCATGGGTGACAGAGTGAGACCCTGACTCAAAAATAAGTAAACAAACACATAAATAAGTACTTTCTCCTTTGTTTTCTTAAGCAATGGCACTGCCAGATGTCTGGTTGCTCAAGCCGATACATGGTACCTGCCTTTCCCTGCCCCACATTGAGGTCCTGTCCATACTGTTCCAAAGTTTATTTATTTATTCTATTTGTTTATTTATTTTTTTGAGTCAGTGTCTCACTCTGTCGCCCAGACTGGAGTGCAGCAGCCGCTCCCAGCCACCGCAGCCTCGACCTGCTGGGCTCCGGCGATCCTTCTGCCTCAGCCTTCCAAGTAGCTGGAACCACAGGCGCGCGCTACCACACCTGGCTAATTTTTTTGATTTATTGTAGAGATGAGGTCTCGCCTGGCCAGGAGAGTCTCGAACCTGCGGGCTCAGGCAATCCACTCACCTCAGCCTCCCAAAGGCGTGGGATTACAGGCTGAGCCACCAAAGTTTATTTTAAAGCTGCCCTTTCCCTTCCATCTCCTGCCACCACCCTAGTCTGAGCTCCATTATTCATCACTAAGTCCAGTGCTTCTCAGACTATGTGTAGGGCCTGCTTTTTTCTTTTCAATGCAGCTTGTGCTAGATAGAGTGGTTACCCATGGGAGTCAGGGATAAGAACTGGTTTGTGATCTGTCCAGAGTGATGAGCCTGTGGAACACGTGCTGTGAGAGTGAGATTGAAGCAATGCCAGTGGTTGCACGTGTTTCTAAACACCTATGTAAGTGGTCTGGTGACAGTTCTTGGGCAGGCCTCAGTTTGCTGACTTTGTTGAGTAGCACTGGCAACTTGATTTTGGGAAACATAAATGAGATCTCACCATTTTCCTGTTCAGAACCTTCCAAGGAATGCAAATCCTTAAAGGACAAAGTTCCATGTAGTCTTCCTCTTGTCTGTCTGTCCACCCTCATCTTTTAGTGTTCATCCAGTCCCTGGAGCTGCTTGGGTGAACCGGAACTCTGCCTGCAGCCATGGTCTTAACCTAGACTTCTCTTGCCCTGGGTCTTAGCAGAGATGGCTTCTCACCCCTGGGATTCACCTTGAGCATTACCTCCTCAGGTGTCCAGACGACCCCATCACAGACAGTGTCCCACCCCTTCTCCAGGGAATATGTGGCTTCTATATTGTGTTTGTCAAACACTCCATAAATATAGACTGAGCGTGAACAAATGGTCTGGAAAGGCTTTATGAGGTGTGTCTTTGAGGATGTAATGTAGTTGAATTGTGGCAGAATACAGAGAGAGATTAGACACCAGGGCTTCTTTACCAGGAAGCAGCGTTTATTTGTGCTGGCACTGGCCCAGCAGTTTCACATCCAAAGGCACTGCCTTATATTATATTTTAGCCCCTTTGTCTCCCTTATATGGCAACTTGCATTTTTGATTGGGCATTTTATGGCACAGGGTTGTAACTGGGTTACTCGTGCGCACATAGATATTGACTACACCACGTCACTTTCTCTCTAACACATTCTTTTTCTATTCTGGGAAGGCCCTTATCTCTTTATTTTAGAAGGGCCCCTGCCTCAGAATACTGACTTACTGAACTTCAATTCTTTTTTGAAGTACATTTCATGTATGTGTGTGTGTATATATATATATATATATATGAAACACTGCTTCCTGGTAAAGAAGCCCTGGTGTCTCGTCTCTCTCTGTAAAGAATTCTGCCACAATTCAACTACATTACATCCTCAAAGACACACCTCATAAAGCCTTTCCAGACCATTTGTTCACGCTCAGTCTATATATATATATGGGTTTCATGCAGGTATATAGACCGAAGACTTGGTGGGAATTAAAAATTGTCATTACCCTTGGTGCACAGGAGATGGCTTGATACTAACCAGCTCCCTGGGTGTGGGCGAGCTTTTCCCTCAGACTCAGCTCTCCTTACCTTGGGAGGAGTGGGGCATTCGTGAGGACGTGAGGTCACCTGTCTAACATCTTAGTACTGTCCTGGGTGTTTTCCTTCAGTTCCAAGAGTTTTTGTCCCTTTGTGAACTCTGAAGCTGTTTATAGGATTAGTGTGAGAACTTTCACAAAGTTGAGAGTTAACCCGGCTGTAGTATGTGTGGGGTCTGATAAGTTATTGAACCTCTCGGTGTCTCATGTGTAAAATGAGCATAATTATTAGTGCCTACGTCAGGGGCTTTAAAAACAAAATGATTCTCTACTTAGGCATTGCCTGTATTGTAGCTGGCGTCAGCTGCTGTTATGATCATTGTTATTATATATTTGAGAACTAATCTATACATGTCTTCTTGGGTAATAAAACTGCTAATTTAAAAAATGTTGGCTGGAACATGGTGACTCATGCCTGTAATCCCAGCACTTTGGGAGGCTGAGGCTAGAGGATTGACTGAGCCCATGGATTTGAGACCAGACTGGGTAATATGATGAGACCTCATCTCTATAATAAAATAAAAAAATTAGCTGGGTGTGGTAGTGCTTGCCTGTATTTCCAGCTACTTGAAAGACTGAGGCGCAAGGATCACCTGAGCCCAGCAGGTCGATGCTGGGGTGGCCGTGAGTGTGCTACTGCACTCCAGCCTGGGTGACAGAGTGAGACTCCAACTCAAAAAAAAAAAGTTAAGGGTCATGATAATATCTGCATATGCGCAAATTAAGGTAAAGACTATACAACAGGAAAAAGGACATTTGATAGAGACTGGAATCCATAAGAAATAATTATGAGTACGTATGTACTGCATAACTTAGAGTAGAAATTCATGAAACAAAATCTGCAAGAAATTCAGGAAAGCTGCAGAAACATCTGTAATGGTCTATAGTCCAAATAAAACTAGAAACTAACAAAAATAGAAATAACAGAACTTCAGCCCCAAACAATTAAGACATGTAATTTACATTAACAAAATACATGCTCCAATCTAGTTTTCCAAGTAGGAGTTTGGAAATATGATACTTTATAATATTATCAAGAGGTTGGATAATGAAAGTATTCTTGTGTTCTTAAAGGTCACAGTTTACCTTAAATATATTTTGTATAAGACCTTAGAGATAAGATTATATTTACAGTTCATTTCTGGTTTTAAAATTAGTACATCATCAAAACACTTGACATTATGCTACTATGACATTTTAAATGACACCTTTAAAGAAAACATAAAAAAACAGTAAAATAGTGATGATATGATGTTTGCAGATTTTCACAAATCCTTGACTGCATTGTTATGATACCTTTTGATCTTTTTTGTTACTTAAAACAAAATCAGTCTCAATCCATGAAGCTTTTCGTGGAATTAAGACTTTTCCACATTCTCTTTAGTAGCTGTAGCTGGAAACACTGGGTGGTCTATAACTAGTGTAATTGAGATGTGTCCTGACTTTCTAGTAGGTCTAAGACACCAGGAGTCCCAACTGGAAAGACCATTTGTATGCTTTCTTTGCATGTCTGGGTCTTCAGTGTTCTTATGGAAGCATCTTAAATTTAGCAGATGTGTTTCTAGCCCGGATGCAGTGGGTTCCATGTACGTGCATTTCTTGTTCCTCCCACAGACCCAGTACTCATTTAAGCAGGTGTTTGGCCCTCACACCACCCAGAAGGAGCTCTTTGATGCTGTGGCCAGTCTCTTGGTCGATGACCTCATTCATGGCAAAAATGGTAAGCTTCCTAGAGTTTTCTTGGATCTTTCCTCTTTCTCCTGATAAAACTTCTGTGATATTTGTATATTTGGATTATGCTTGGCTTGAATTCAGATGGAATTTGTTAGGGTGTTGTAATCTGCTTCTTTGGAACTGGTTCATCTTAGTGTTTCTAATGTGATGATGAAACAGGACCCACGAAGGACTTGTAAGATGTAACTCATCGTGACTTGCCGCACGCAGGTCTGCTCTTCACCTATGGTGTGACCGGAAGTGGAAAAACTCACACAATGACCGGGTCCCCAGGGGAAGGAGGGCTGCTTCCCCGTTGTCTGGATATGATCTTTAACAGCATAGGGTCATTTCAAGCTAAACGATATGTAAGTAGGACTTCTGTGTTTCACTGGGGGTACAGAACTGAGATGCCCAAGGATACGGTAGTACTGGGAAGAAACAAAGCACTGGATTCTTTTTGAAACTCAACTGTGCTTCAGTTGTAAATGCTTCTTAGTTCTTTAGCATGTTTCTTACTATTTAAGTCAAATTCTAATAAACATGGTCTGATTCTGCCCCTATTTCAGGTTTTTAAATCGAATGATAGAAACAGTATGGATATACAGTGTGAGGTTGACGCCTTATTAGAACGTCAGAAGAGAGAAGCCATACCCACTCCAAAGACTCCTGCCAGCAAGTAAGTAATGACATTTGCATGCACTGCTGGCCTCGGGGCACAGGATTCTGTCCTGTGGTTTGCCTGGGCAGAGGAATGGTACACGCTAAGTAGAGAAGTTAGTCTGACCGTTGATTTTTGTGAGATGAAGCTGAGGGTCATTCTTAAGTCATTGCTTCAGAGGTTCCCTTTGGTTTTAAGCACATTGTGTTTGACTTAGTGTTTGAGAAGGTGCCACTGTGGGTCAGGATAGGGTGTAAAAGCCATTGTTTTGTATCTGGGAGGACGTGGGGATATTGCTGGTGAAACATGAACATGAATAAAGTTGCTATGTGTGTTGCTGCCTGTAATGGCAGATCATTTATGTTATATCTTAGTTTCCCCTTGGGAGCATTTACTTTTGATATTGACTCACAGTGTGTGAAATTGGACTTTCTTTTTTCTAGGCGACCAGTAGATCCAGAGTTTGCAGATATGATAACTGTACAGGAATTCTGCAAAGCCGAAGAGGTTGATGAAGACAGTGTCTATGGTGTATTTGTCTCTTATATTGAAATATATAATAACTATATCTACGATCTATTGGAAGAGGTGCCGTTTGATCCCATAAAACCCAAGTAAGTAGCGAAGAGAGCTCCTTCTGAGCTGCTAACCTTAGGGTAGTTACTGACCTCAGTGAGCCTTAGTTTCTTCAGTTGTTAGTGGAAATAATGCTTGTATTTCTTTTGTAAAATGATGTACTTGTGCATCATATATGAGGGGGAACCTCAGAAAAACGGAATTGCCTTTTTTTTTTTGAGGGCAGCCTTTCCCTGCTAGGTAAGTGTTCTAGGAACACATCAGCATCGGTGTACTAGTTAGCATTGATGTGAGAGGCTGCGTTCTGCTTCAGTGAATTTTGTGGGAGATTCTTTCAGTGCATTTGCCCATTTCGTGTTGGGTGATTTACGAACACACCTGCCCACACCACACTGAGCAGTGTTCAGCAGTTTTTGACCCAAAATGGCATGACTCCCGGGCCCTACCCTCCCCAGTCACCTGATCTTGCCCCGAGCGACTTTTTTTTGTGAACTTAGAAGAAAAAAGTCCTCAAAGGGAAACGTTTTGCCGATGTGGAGGAGGCAAAACAAAAAAGGGCAGAAACTCTAAATGGCACCCAAATTGATGAGTTCGCAAACTGTTTTGAGCAGTGGAAAAAGTGTCTCCATAGGTGTGTTGCATCCAACGGAGAGTCCTTTGAAGGTGGCTGAAGTTTAAACTTGTAAGAATAAATACACAGTTTTTTGTAAATAAATTCTGGGTTTTTAGGTCTCCCCGCTCCTAGTTGGTGCTCAGTGAGTATGTTTGTTATTAGCTGGACATGTGGCTATGTTAGGGAACCAGTGAGGCAAGGCATCTAAGGAGAGAGTGATGCTGATATTCATCTTGAAGATTTCTTCTGGAAGCTCTAGGCCCTGGGCTCTGTTTTGGGAAGGACTTTAATTAATTACTCGGAAAGTGCCCCTGATGGTGTGTTCTGGGGCTGCCTTTCGAGACTCACTGTTGGGAGTTTTGTAGCCTCTTTGACCCTCTGTGTCTTGGGATCTGACCAGAGCTTAAAGCCATTGTCTGTTCAAGCAGTGCTCACAGACTGCTCCTCATTGGCTAATACTAAGTGGCTTCTGGGTGTCATTCTGCATGAGTTCAGGACAGCTTCTAGATTTCCTTGGGTCTTGCTTTGCTGAGACTGAAGACCGTTTCTACCTGACATCACACTTGATGAATCTCATTTGTGCCAGAGTTGACCCTGGAATCTTGTGTCTAATGTTAACATCTTGTTCCCAAGTAGATGGTTTTTTTCTGAAGCTAAAGGCTTGTCTTTGTTAGGGCTTCTCTGGACATAGATGATATGAAGACTCATGTCTTAATATTTAGCTTTGTATGCCTATTGGAACATGACTGGAGAAACAGCTGGATTTAGAAAGTCATTAGACTAAGAATTGGGATCAGTAGATCTGCCTGCTGACATGAAAAATGAGTGGACTCTGGTTGAGGTTCCATTTGCTCTAAGTATTTTTGTGGGTCTTAAGTGAGGCACATTTTGATACAGGTGTTTTCACTCAGTCCTTGAATCTGCATTGATGGGGAAAACAGTTACAATGTTGCTAAGCCAGCTAAATATGCAAGTGTGAATCCTGAAAGCTTATGTGAAGTAAGACTCTTGCTCTACTGAAAGCTTCCTCCATGAGAACTTTACAAAGGAACTTGTTTCTGGAGTGACCTGTGGAATGTTGGTATTGAGAAAGGAATACTGGGTTAGGTTACAGAGAACTACATGGAAGAGTAGGCTCCTGTGAGACAATTCCTCTCCATATTCAACTACTCTCTTTCCCATGGGTTTCTGAGCACCTGTGGTCTTGACTCCAGTTTTGCACTTATCCATTTTCTAAGCTTTTGGATGTCATTTGTTGCTACGAATTAGTTTTGTGTCTGCTCGTGTGCCATGTTTTTATTTAGTTTTGTTTTTGCAATGAGATTATTTTCAAAAGCTCCTATCTTGATTTTATCTGGTTATACAAAGGAAGACCGACAAAAGTGACTTGTGCCATGTCACTTTTCTGGGCCACTTCTTGAATTCAGATTTACTTTGTTATGGCAGTGTTAGACCTGCTTTTTTGCGCGGGGTAATTTTTAGTGGTTTTTAATACAATGGGAAAATAGTACAAGTGGAGGGTTTTTAGGCTGTGACTTCTTGTGACCATCACATGGTCTGTGAGATGCCTCTTGTGGAGACAGTAACTTTTGCCTTATCTTTTGGTAGGTGGAACAGTGGCAGCACACCCGTGAGGAACATGGACTTTGTGTATGTGATGGTGTTGGTCTTTTCTGAAAGACAAGGGCACAGTTACACTAGTGGGTGGCATTCTGTGGCATGCTCGCATATAGGTGGTTTTCAGTGGTGCTGGGCTGGCTGCTGTCCCTCAGCCCCCCTGCTTCTGAGAAGTGTGCTACTGGCTGTCAGTGACAGTGACTGGTCAATGTCTCTACCTGCCATTCACAAGACTGAGGCCAAGCAGGCCGTGCCTCACTCAGCCTCCATGCTGCCTGCAGGCCAAGACTTGAAAAGCCACTTGGAAGGATTACCACTCCTGGTATATATGAAACTCTTTCTGAATTTGTTTTCTGCTGTTGCTGAGAAGGTCAGAGCAGTTCTGATTGCTGATCTTTTAGAATTAGGAAAATGCTAGATTTCAATGCCTAACCTGTGCATGTGATATGCTATACTATGCTTTGGTCTCTAATTATTTAGTAAGTGTGTTTCGTGTGCTTTGGTTAGAGCATACTAGAGCAAAGCTTTTAAAACAAAATTAGTTATCTTGTTTCATAACTAATCTTGACTATATATTCTTAAAATCTTATCCAAATTCACTACCTCTCTGGGGTCTCACATAAGCTTGTCTTCATTGTAAGACTGGATATTATGTCACCTGGCATTTTAGTCCTAGTCTTAAGTGAAGATATGAGTATCTCATAATTTAGGAAACTAATCTTTTCTTCACAGACCTCCACAATCGAAATTGCTTCGTGAAGATAAGAACCATAACATGTATGTGGCAGGCTGTACAGAAGTAGAGGTGAAGTCTACCGAGGAGGCTTTCGAAGTTTTCTGGAGAGGTTAGAAACACAACTGGAATTTTTAGAAAAGTATAGAATGATAGATACAGTGCCCTTGGGAGGTGCTGCTAAGCTTGACAGCAGTCTTTCTGGGTTTTTAGAAAGCTTGTGTAATGACGTGACTGAGTTCAGGTTTGATCAGTGTCTTCTCTGTTGTCATAGGCCAGAAAAAGAGGCGTATTGCTAACACCCACCTGAACCGGGAGTCCAGCCGTTCCCATAGCGTGTTCAACATTAAATTAGTTCAGGCCCCCTTAGATGCAGATGGAGACAATGTCTTACAGGTAAGGTTGTAGTGGGTAGATTTTCTGGTTCCAATACTATCCTTAATTTTTGAAATTAGAGTTATATTAGGGAGGTTTTATTGCAATGAAGATTGCTCTAGAATTAATATACAGTTTGTCCTCGGTTGGTTCTGCATCCATGGATTCAATCAGCTGCAGATTCAAAATATTTGAAAAGAAAATACTGCATCTGTACTGAACATGGACAGACTGTTTTTATATCATTGTTCCCTAAGCAACACAGGGTAACAACTCTTTACACACCATTTACCTCATGCTAGGTATTACAAGCAATCTAGAGATGGCTTACAGGCTCCAGAAGGATGCACATGGATGACGTGCACACACTGTACCATTCATATGAGGGACTTGAGCATCCTTCGACTTCGGTATCCATAGGAGATTCTGGGATGCCAAGGAATGACTGCGTGTGTAGGTGATGGCATTGGAAAGACTTCCATTAGATAGTATGGTTTTGGGAATCTGTATATTGAGTTTTAGAACCTAGACTACTAGAGACCCCAGGATTTACATTCTGTTTCCTACTTGGTAGTAGCCGTCTGGCCTAGCTATACTAGGACCTCCTTATAGGGCTGTGAGAATTAAAGGAGGCGACGCCCGTAGAGTCCTCAGGCCAGTACTTGGCATTATTCAGGACCTGGTAAGCATTAGCAGGAAAGTGGTTAGAAGTCAGCCTTCCTCGGAATCACATCTAATTGCAATGTCAATTAGGCACCTCTTTTTTTTTTTTTTTGAGTCAGAATCTCACTCTGTTGTCCAGGCTGCAGTGCAGTGGCACACTCACAGCCACTGCTGCCTTGACCTGCTGGGCTCAGGAGATCCTTCCATCTCAGTCTTCCAAGTAGCTGGAACCACAGGCATGTGCCACCATGCCTGGATGATTTTTTTATTTATTGTAGAGACGCAGTCTTGCCGTGTTGCTCAGGCTGATCTCAAACCTCTGAGCTCAGGCAATTCTCTTGCCTCTGCTTCCCAAAGTATGCTGGGGGTAAGGTGTGGGAGGCAGCTGGAGCCCCTGCTCCACCTTGGAGTCAGGGCTTGGAGTCTGACACAAAAGGAAGACCAGAGAGTGGCAACCATCAGGATCAGGAGTATATCTGTCATGCTGTGCTAGCAAGCTCTCCCTAGAACACAGCTTTTCCCCTTGCTGTGCATTCTGTCTTATGCAAAGGTTAAGGCTTCATCCCTTGCTGATCTGAATCTGTTTAAAGAACATTATAAATCAGAACTCATTTTAGGTTATTGGCTCTGTGATCCTCTTTTCAGGAAAAAGAACAAATCACTATCAGCCAGTTGTCTTTGGTAGATCTTGCTGGAAGTGAAAGAACGAACCGGACCCGAGCAGAAGGGAGCCGACTGCGTGAAGCAGGTGAGTTGGCCAAAGCACCTGTTCGTTGCTGACCTTCAGAAGCCTGCAAGACCAGTTATCAACTTGTCAGTGGGTGGTTTCAGCATGAGTGTCTTCCATTAGGGACTTCAGAGGCCGAGCTTAATGACCAGTACTATTGAGTCATGTTGATTTGGTATCAGACTATTAGAATACACTGATGTCTTTGGGAATGAGGAAAGGTAGCTTTATATCGGAAAAGTCATTTCTAGCATCGTAGGTCAGTACCTGGTCCTTAAATTAGGTGATTTAATGGTTGTTATTCCAATATTCCTAGCAGTAAAAATGGGATTCTGGACATGGGAAAGACCTGAACACAAGCTAATTGAAGGGAAATCTATGTGCTGCCTTCCCCCTGCCCCGCTCAAGTCAGTGTCTCACTCTGCTACCCAGGCTGGAGTGCAGTGGCACGATCATGGCCACTGCAACCTTGGCCTGCTGGGTTCAGGTGATCCTTCTGCCTCAGCCTTCCGAGTAGCCAGAACTACAGGTGTGCCACCACGCCCGGCTAATTTTCTGATTTATTGTAGGGATGAGGTCTCACCAAGTTATCTAGGCTCATTTCAAGTCCCTGGAATTACTGGTGTGAGCCACTGCACTTGGCGTATTTCTTTTTTTCCTATGTATTTTATGATGCCCTTTCTAATAGTTTTTAAAAAGTTGATACAGTTGTACATAGTTTTGGGTTAAATGTGATATTTTGATAGACTTGTACAGTGTGATCAGATCAGGGTGATTGGGATCTCTGTCACCTTGCATGTTGTGTTTTATGTTAGTAACCATTTATTCAGTACCTACTGTGTGCCAGGAATTGAACACAGACAAGGAAGCAGCCCTGATGGAGAGAGCCCAGCCTAGTGCAAGAGGTGGCTGATAGACAGACCAGGTCCTGAGAGAATATGCATTCTTGATTGCTGAGGAGAAGGGTGTGTGTTGGTGACTGTGAGAACTGAAGCAGGAGGCAATGCACACCAGGAGGACCCTTGTCCATCATTAAGAAGTTTGACTTTTATCTTGAAGGAGTAATGGTGGCTACCTATTAAGGGTCTAGTGTGTATCATGTATCTACTAAGCATGTGCTTCATTTCTTGATTCTGACTTTTCAGGGTTGTGTCATACCCGTTTTTCAGATGAGGAGATGGGTTAGGCAGGGGAGGTTAATTTTCCCAAGGCTGGAGCCTGGGTTCAAACCCAGGTTGGTTGGATTCTGGCAGCCTGGTTTTCTACTGTGTCATATGGTTTTCTCTTAGAGTCAAGGACTGGCCTTTTAGGAAGATCATTTTGCCAGTGTAGAGAATTTGCTTACCAGCAACAAGCCGAGAGGCAGGGAAGCGCAGCCAGGAACCGCTCCCAGCTGTTCAGATGAGTGACCGTGGTGGGCCGAGAGCTGTCAGGAGGTGGGTCCGCCTGGTGTGCTGTGCGAGGCGGCCTGGATGGAGGAGCAGTGGAGTGAGGAGAGGTGTGGCCAGTTGGTGAGGCTTGTGTTTGATATGTTCAGTGTATGCACGCAGAAGTGCCTAGTAACTAGATGCAGAGATACGTGGATTTGGGAGAAGAGAGATCTGACTGAGGTTTATAGGATTAGGTCTTGCCCACAGAGGAGTGATCGCAGTAGTGGGGAGATAAGATTATTCCATGAGAACAGAGGAGGAAGCTGGGGGAAGACCTCGAGGATTACGAAGCTCTTGAGATGATTAAAGAGCTTGGAAGGTGGGGGGTAGCTAACAGAATCTTGGGATTATGAAATGGTTTAACGATACACGCACATCTTATATGTACATGAGAGAGAATCGCGCGTGGAATGTGTCTCCATGCTGAAGAAATGAGGCGTCCGTGGTCTGAAATGGGGCCTCTTAGACCTGCCTCTGGCCTGGGTCACAGGCTTCTTCCATGTGTCCGGATTGCTCATGTCCTGTGAGGATGGACCATGCCTGGCTGTCTGCCATCATGTCCCCAGTGCCTTCTGCCGGATGTTAGAAAATACGAGTGTGATGCTGTGGGTGGAGCCAGGAGGTCCCAGAGGAGGCAAGAGCACTGGAACCAGATCACAGGAGGAGGGGTTGGCTTTGATGGGAGAGAGGTTTTACTTTTTTTTTTTTTTGAGTTGGAGTCTTGCTCTGTCGCCCAGGCTGGAGTGCAGTGGCACACTCCAGTGCTGACCTGCTGGGCTCTGGTGATCCTTCCACTTCAGCCTTCCAAGTAGCTGGAACCATAGGCATGCACTACTATGCCCGGCTAATTTTTGTTATATTGTAGAAACAAGGTTTCACCAAGTTGCCTGGGCTGGTGTTGAATCTGCGGGCTCAGGCAATGCACTCGCCTCAGCCTCCCTTGCTGAGATTATGGGCTGAGCCATTGACTGGGAGAGAGGTTTTAAAAGCCTGAGGTTTCTAAAGCTAGAAAAGACTGTCAATCATATGAGTGAGGCACAAGTGTGACAGTCACGGAGTGAGAGAAGGAAGAAAAGGTGCTGTGCTTCGGAGGGGTGAGCACCAGGGTGGAGTTGAGAGAGATTTGCTGCAGTCAGGGCCTCCGACGACAGCGTGAGAGTGACTGTTCTCATGACTCATGACCTGGGGATGGTGTGGAGGAGGGACACTGAAGGCAGCAGTGAGGAACAGGGTGTGTGCTGGCCGCCCTCTGCCCCCATCCTTGTGTGATGTCTGGTTGTAGAAGACAAGCAGCTTTATTTTAAAAGGCTTCAGGGCAGCAGGAGGCACTGCCTCTCAGGAGGTGAGGGTTAGGCCATGGGGTGTGTGCCATCCAAGGGGGTGCAGCCCGGGCCCTTCCCACAACAGTGTTCCTGAATGTGTGACATTGGAGGATTACAGAGAAAACCAGTCATGTTGAAGTGCATTGTTTAAGGTATTTGTAAGTTTGTCATTTATGTGCTTCTCTGTGAATGTTTAAGTAAAAACACAGCAGCAGATCTAATAAGTAATTGCAAAGTAATGATGAGCAGAAATAGCTTAATCGGCAATAAACTGAGATGTGCTATGAAAATACCTGTGATTTGTGACAAAAATCACAGGTAAGACTAATACTGTGGGTGTTGACCTCATGCATAATTGGAGGAACTGGTGATTCTAGTTAGAGGTCAGTAAAAATGCACACATCATTTATTCCCATCTGGGTTCACAGACTCCCCACAATATACCCTTGGCCAACACAGACCCCAGCCTAAGATGCCCTCACCATTGGGGAAAGAGATGAATGGATCATTCTGTGAGAGGAGGGAGAACTCAGGGAAATCGGTGAAGAGGACCATAAGCTCCTGAGCACAGGGGGAGAAGAAGAAATGGTGGGAGTTTAGGTCAAAGGAGAAAAATCACGAATCGTGGGTTATGGGGAGGCACAGCTGAGCTTGGTGTTCGCAAGGTGTCTCCATGGGTCCTGTATCCTTGGGAGGCCAAGGATGAATGCATGGTGGCGTCAGCTGACCTTAGTCAAGGCTCCAAAAGGAACACAGACTTTAGGGGTCTAATCAGGCAACATCTACATTCTTGGAAGCTTGATTAATCCGTCAGAATGACCTTGGCTCAGAAATCCAAATACCAGCAGTCAGAAATAGCAAGTATTCTACCAAAGAAGTTCTTGTAAAGGTGCAGAGGGGACAGGATTAGCTGGCTCCTAGAACACTTGACTGTTACAAACAGCAGGAGGCTGTCTGGGTGCAGGGGACTTCAGACTCTTAATGGAGCCAGGTGTAGCCGGAAATGGCTGTGCTTTGAAGAGAATATTTTTTTGTTGCCCGACTGGAGTGCAGTGGTACAACCATGGCTATTGCAGCTCTGACCTCCTGGGCTCAGGTGATCCTTCCACCTATGCCTCCTGAGTAGCTGGGACTACAGGTATATTCCACCATGCCCGGCTAATTTTTTATTTTCTTTTTGTAGAGCTGAGATCTTGCTGTGTTGTGTAGGCTGGTCTTGAACTCCTGGGCTCAAGCAATCCTCCTACCTCGGCCTCCCAAAATGCTGGGATTACAGGTGTGAGTCACCGTGTCACGGCTAGAGAAGATACTTTAATATGAAAATTTTAAACATCTGTATCTGAGACAGTCTTTCATAGAATTTAGGATTTGGAAGAAGCTTTATGGTCATTAAGCCTCTGTGGGAAGTCCTGTCGATGGAATCCCTGAAGGATGACTGTTTAACGCTTCAGAAATGCTGTTGCTGAACGAGAGCCTGGACCTCTCACAGTTGTTTGAAGCCTAGATCTTACTGGCAAACGGAACACACCTTAAATACTGTGTTGTTTTCAAATGCCTTCTGTGTGTGTTTCTGTCAGGTAACATTAACCAGTCGCTCATGACGCTGAGAACGTGTATGGACGTCCTGAGAGAGAACCAGTTATATGGAACTAACAAGGTGAGCGGTGCCACCTCTGGTCACTTGTCCAGCCTCATCCACATGTACTGCTCACCTCACACATTTGGGTTTCACTGTATTTGTAGATGGTTCCGTATCGAGACTCCAAGTTGACCCATCTGTTCAAGAACTACTTTGACGGCGAAGGAAAAGTGCGCATGATCGTGTGTGTGAACCCAAAGGCAGAAGACTATGAAGAGAGTTTGGTAATTTTAACTTGTTTATCCTGCAGAGTCTCAGTTCTGTAGGGAAAACAACCAGTTGGATGCGAGGAGGGACATTTTGAGCATTAATGAAGTGCTGCAGAACCTTGGGCTAAAGAAGTAAACTCAGGACCAATCTTTGCTTCACTTGGTGATTTCTAAAGGGACTTGGGGATCTTTATTTTTTTAACACTCAATCTGTTTTGTATTTTAGCAAGTCATGAGGTTTGCAGAAGTGACTCAGGAGGTGGAAGTCGCGAGACCCGTAGACAAGGCGATATGTGGCTTAACACCTGGGAGGCGGTACCGAAACCAGGCCCGGATGCCAGTTGGAGAGGGTATGAGTTGGTTGGCATTGTGTCATTGTCTCCTGATGCGGGGGGGTGTATGTGTGTCTCTCTAAAAAAACCTGTTTCATACACAAGAACTGTTTATATACCTTCTCAAGAACCAAGTGCAAAAAGATTTGAACCAAAATATAAGTGAGACTTTTTTGGTGGGGGGGGGGTTGCAAACGATAATTCTCATTTTTAGATAAGTAAATTGTGTCAACTCAAGAAATTGCAGTTGGACTGGTGCTGTAATCACAGTGCTTGTTGAGCGAAGCCCTCACTCCTGTGACTGTTTACAATTTGTACAATTCATCATAGAACCGCTGGTTGCCGACATGGTTTTGCAGAGTTTCCCGCCTTTGCCCTCGTGTGAAATTTTGGACATCAATGATGAGCTGACGCTCCCACGGCTGATTGAGGCCTTGGAGAAGCGGCATCGCCTGCGACAGACGATGGTGGAGGAGTTTGCCAAGCAGTGTAAGCACCGCCGTGTGCAGCCGCAGTTCCTTCCGAAACTGAGAATATTAACAGGGAATCTGAGTCTGTGGCGGGAGGCAACTTTAAGGGAGGTTCATTTTGTCTCTGCTTCTGAGTACTCACAACATTCTCTAGTCATAATGGCAAGGGTTTCCCACAGCTGTTTTTTTTGTCTAACAAAGTCAAAAGAAAATGTGTGTGTTCTGTGTTGCTGCCTTTTTTTTGTTTTTGTTTTTTTTTGAGGCTGAGTCCCACTCTGTCACCCAGGCTGGAGTGCATTGGCACACTCGTGGTCACCACAGCCTTGTTGGGCTCAGGTGATCCTCCCACCTCAGCATTCCAAGAAGCTGGAACTATAGGTGTGCGCCACCTCACTCCACTAATTTTTCTTGATTTATTGTAGAGACATGGTCTCACCAAGTTGCCTAGGCTGGTCTTGAGCCTCTGGCCCAAGGCAATCCTTTCACCTTTGCCTCCCAAAGTGCTGGGATTACAGGCATAAGCCACCGTGCCTGGCCTTTTTTTTTTTTTAAACAGAGATAGACACAAAGGAATATTTATTAGTTTCCCTGGCTGCAAGTGGGTTTTGTCATTGGTTTGAGATTGGATGTTTTAAGGATGAATGACAGTCCTGTAGGACAGTGATAACAGCCTGGTCCTTTTACCAAGTGAATGTGTTTCAGTGAGTGAATGTTGCTGGTATTTTTATTATCATCAGGTCATTTTAATCTTCACCAAGAAGTTGTGATGTACAGTGGCACTTACATTTCCATGTTGAAATGAAATTTGCTTTAAAAAATTAAGTAATTGCCCAAGTCATAAGTCATAAGTGGGACACCAGGGTGTCCACTCAGGTCTAATCACCCCAAGTCCAGTGTTGCTTCTGTATGTGCATTTGTTGTTCTGTGAGGGTGGGAGGAGGGTGCTGCAGTGTGAGTGGAAGATTAGAGTGTTTTCATTCTTATACAGAAAGCTCCTGCGAATCTCCCATGTAGATCTGAGATTCAGTCTCCTGATTTCCCTGCAAACTTGTGTTCTCATGTAGACTGACTCTCAGAAAGACCACTGAACAGCTGCATTTCACCTTGTGTCTGCTAGCTAAAGTTGGTTTCATTGGTTGTTTGAAATTGGAGTAAATCTTGGTCTGCGTGCTTTTGTTTCAGCCAATACTTTTAAAGCTCTGTTACATGAATTTGACACTGCTGTATTAAATAAAGAAAACTACATTCAAGGAAGACTAAATGAAAAAGAAAAGGTGATCTCAGGACAGAAATTGGAAATAGAGCGACTGGAAAAGAAAAACAAAACTTTAGAATATAAGGTTTGTCTTGGCATTATGATCATGGATGTGTGTGCTAACCCCTGGCCTGGCCTGAGGGGCTCAGGTAGCTGGGCTCAGGAAGAGGCTTCACTCTGCTGTTTAGTGACCTTCATCCCACCCCAAAGAAGAGAGTGGAAGTGAGAGCGTCAAGGGAGGGAGGGGAAGTGATGGTTGACTTTTAGTTGAGGAAAATGTTCTCTGACCTGAACAACAGAGCTTTCTAGAGTTGAGCTTTGGGTATAGCTTGCTTTTTGATTTATTAGAAATATTTCCTTAGTATGCTTCTTTTTCCTATAAAATAAATGACTACTGAGACAGTCTAAAAGTGCCAGCATAGGGCCCTAGACATGACAGATCCCAGTGGATCTCATTCTGTGAACAAGGAAGCCTCAGGGAGAACCACCACCATGTGCTGAAGGCAATGTGGTTTGCTGGGGCTGCGGCTCCTGGCACAGGCATTGCCTTATCTGCAGTGTATGGCGCAGAGGCTGGCAGGGAACACGTCCCTTCTAAAGAGACGCTAGTCTCAGGCAACCTGGTTTTGTGTCTTCTGAAAATAGCCTAAAAGTCAAATTTTAGATTAGGAGAAGGCAATTTTCACATGAAGTCCATTGTAGCTGCCCACTGGTGAGGACCTTGTGTAATGTGATGTGATCTCCTTTCTGGGCATGGGTGTGGGCCTGCAGGTGAAACTGGAGAGGGGTACGCTCTCTCCAGGATAGTTCTTTCCAAACACGCCTGTATGCGCATGGGAAGGAAGATGATTTGACAGCTCTGTGGGGTATCTGCAAACCAAATACAAATGTGACACTCTCCCTCCTCAGATTGAGATTTTAGAGAAAACCACGACTATCTATGAAGAGGACAAACGCAATCTGCAGCAGGAGCTCGAAACCCAGAATCAGAAGCTTCAGCGACAGTTTTCTGACAAGCGCAGGCTTGAAGCTCGGCTGCAAGGCATGGTGACAGAGACGACGATGAAGTGGGAGAAGGAATGCGTGAGTGTCCCTTGCACTCGTTGGAGGTTTGGTGGTTAACTTGGGAAGAGCTGGGAGCGGTCAGTCTTAGGACTGAGGTGGTTGGGCCGTGTGCGTACTTGGCTGCTGTGGCTGAAGTGGAATGTGATTACCTCTGCTGACCTGTAGGAGCGAAGGGTTGCAGCCAAACAGCTGGAGATGCAGAATAAACTCTGGGTCAAAGATGAGAAACTGAAGCAGCTGAAGGCCATTGTCACAGAGCCTAAAACCGAGAAGCCGGAGAGGCCCTCTCGGGAGCGGGACCGAGAAAAAGTCTTTCAGAGATCCGTGTCTCCCCCTCTGGTGCCGGTAAGTTCCTTGTCACTATACAGGGACTTTGTACTTGAAAATGTATTCCAACTAGACGACTATTTATAGGAGAGTCAGCTTTTGTTGTATAATACTTACAATATTTCTGAAATTTCTGTTTAAGAATATTTTTAAATTTAGCATAAACACAAATTTAGTACCAAAAGTTTAGTACAAATCATTACTTATGCTAAGTCTTCATGTGCTAACATTAGAGAAAAGCGATGCGTTGTTTCTCTTTTTTCACTCTTGCTCATTTCTTTCTCTCTGATTTTTCTAGCTTTCTAGTAACTCTATTGCTCAGATTCCCAACGCCCAGCAACTCATGAGCCAGCCGCAGCTCCATAGGCGCTCTAACTCTTGCAGCAGCATTTCTGTAGCTTCCTGTATCTCGGAGTGGGAGCAGAAACTTCCTACGTACAACACACCTCTCAATGTCACATCTCTTGCGAGGTGTAGGCAGCAGGAGCCAGGACAAAGTAAAACTTGCATGGTGTCAGACAGAAGGCGAGGGATGTACTGGACTGAAGGCAGGGAGGTGGTCCCCACCTGCAGAAACGAGATAGCGCTGGAAGAGGACCGCCGTGGCAGGGTCAGTGCCGGGGTCATCTTACAGCCTTGTGGCAACGGACGAGCTCGTTGTTTTCTGTAACATGGTTCTGAAGGTTCAACGGAGAGGTGGGTGGGCACTAATGGAAACAAGGTGGAATTTTTTTCTTAATGTGAAAGATTGGCTCACTCTGAGATTGAGGCCTGGCTCTTCACCTGGAAAAGCCTAAACATGCCTGGCAGCAGAAGTAACACCTGTGTGTTTGGTGAACACCCCAGGGCAGTTGTGCCTAAAAGCTGATAAGCTAGTGAGCTTCGCACAGAACCCACGGTTGTGAGTGTCTTAGAGCACACTTCCTTTTTTGTTTTTTTTACTGCTATTTTTGAAGGCTGCTTTATAAAGTTGTTTCCCCTGACCTTAGAAATTTCAGATCCAAAGAGAAATGGAAAGAATGGTACAGTAGCATCTCTCCCCCTTATCTGAGTTAACCAACTGTTGATTTATACAGATACGGAAACGCTTTTTTCTTGAGCCCTTTGAAAGTAGGTCATAGACTTCTGACAGTTTATCCCCAAGAACAAGGACGTTGTCCTACCCAGCCACAATATTTATCACATCTACCGAAGTTGGCATTGTCCCAATATCCATATGTCCCAGGAGTGGCTTTTCTTTTTTCAATCTGTAATCCTGTCCAAGTGTATCCATTGCATGTGGGGATTGTCACTTTAATCTCTTTTAAAGGGTCCTCCCCACCACACATACTCTTTAAATATAATTTTTATTACACTGACTCTTTTGAAGAGTCCTGGCCAATTGTTTTGAAACTACTGAAGATTTTCATGTCAAATAAATTGATTTAATCTCAAGGCTTTTATCTCAGTTTACAAGGGCTTTGCCTCATTTAAAGGTATTTAAATAAAATCACTTTCATTTTTTTTTTAAGGATAAAGTTTCCTTTGATTGAATAAATGGATGAAGTTAATATTGTGGATTTCATATCTAGTAAAATCTTAACATAGCTCTTTTAGAATTTGTCCTAAATAAATAGGTCTTACAGTACATCTTTGCTTTAGAATTCCCCGTATGATTTAGGGTTGAGATGAGTGTTTGGCCCTGCTCAGTGGCTCAGCCTGTAATCCCAGCGCTTTGGGAGGCTGAGGTGAGTGGATTACCTGAGCCTGCGGGTTCGAGACCCACCTGGGCGCAAATTGGCGAGACCTCATCTCAGCTATTTGGAAGGCTGAGGTGGAAGGATCGCCAGAGCCCAGCTGGTCGAGGCTGCAGTGGCCGGGAGTAGCCACTGCCCTCTAGTCAGAGTGACAGAGTGAGACTCCAACTCAAAAATAAAAAAGAAATGAGTATTCATTTAGGTGACTCCAATTCTGAATTAAAGGAAGGCAACGAATTCCCAGGCATTTACCAACAAGGCAGCAGATGATTCCCAGGGCTCTTAAGTTCTTCCCTTCTCTCTACTGGAGCCTAGCAGGTTTTGTCTTAAGCCTTTTCTAGGGAGTACACTGTGGTGAGTGGTCTCTCTGGTCAGTCAGTTTACATAATGAAGGTGAATGGACTGAAAACTCAGGTCTGCCTATGCCCTCTCAACAGTCATGTGGTGTCTGGTGTGGCTGAGTTAGTTAAGGGGACTTACTAGCGATGCTTCTCTGCTAAAGGCAGGATTTCTTTAAAAGTGAAGCAGAAGGCCAGGCTTGGTGGCTCAGCCTGTAATCCCAACACTTTGGGAGGCTGAGGCAAGTGGATTGCCTGAGCCTGCAGGTTCGAGACTAGCCCAGGCACCTTGGCGGGACCTTGTTTCTACAATAAATCAAAAAAAATTAGCTGGGCGTGGTAGCACACGCCTGTAGTTCTGGCTACTTGGAAGGCCAAGGTGGAAGGATTGCCGGAGCCCAGCAGGTTGATGCTGGGGTGACTGTGAGTGTGCCACTGCACTCTAGTCTGGGTGACAGAGTGAGACTCCAACTCAAAAATAAATAAACAAACAAACAAATAAATAAATAAAAGTGAAGCAGAAAAGTGGGCCAGGCACTGCAGCTCATGCCTATAATCCCAGCTCTTTTGGAGGCCAAGGTGAGAGGATTGCATGAGACTGGGAGTTGGAGACAAGCCTGGACAATATAGCAAAACCCTGTTTCCAAAAAAAAAAAAGCTAGGCATAGTGGGCATAGTGTACATGCCTGTAGTCCCAATGACTCAGGAGACTGGGAAAGGAGGATCACCTGAGCTCAGGAGTTTGAGGCTGCAGTGAGCTATGATAGTGCCAGTGCACTCCAGTCTGGGCAGCAGGAACCCTGTCTCCAAAAAAAAAAAACAAACGTGTAGCAGAAAAGTTCCTGTCAGGTTAGTATCTATCCATCTATGTTTGTCAAAAATTATGTCTGGTGAAATGAATTTATACTTCATTGAGGGAAAAAATGTTACATATTGATTTCATAAATGCTAGTAGAGTATATGGCTGATCATCTTGGCAAAGCTTGTTTCATCATGTCTTTATTGTTAACTGTTTGAAGAAAACTCTCACTTTTGCTAAATGTAGATGAAAAGAGCCAGACTTTCCTCCTTGTCTAGCATTAGTTAAACCATTTTAAGAATTAAGTGTTTCTGCCTGCCATCTTCAGTGGTTAGGAGTTGCCTATGTTTTCTAGTCTACAGTGGAGCTATCACCAGTGCTTTGCTTGTTTCTTATAATGATTAGGGGAGGAGGTAGTTCCCAAGATGTGCATTTTGAAAGTGAGGTCTTCATCCTTGACCAGCTGTAAGGGATTGGGTCTGTGACAGACTTTTTCATTTGCTTCCAGTTTTACAAACAGGAAACATTCATAAAATTCCAAAGAAACTCATTGCTTCAAACTATAACTATGCCATGTATAGGAAATATTTTTTCTTAGTCTCAATGTGCTGAATTTAACTTCCCCAAATGTACACGACATTTGACTGGAAGCAATTAACTTTGTTTTGTATTGGAGACTGATTTGACACTATATTCTTCATTTGATTCTTGGAACTTTTATGAAATGTTTTGGGGGAAAAATTAGTTGGTAATTTTGGCCACTATTGTATTTGAACTTGTCATGATGTTCTGTTAAAAGATTTAGCAGTCTTAGCTGAAAGTAAGTACTTTATATTTCCTTTGCTCGCTTTGCACTCAGGGCTCTCCTTATGTCTTTCATCCTTTGCTATTCTGCTCCATATGGCTTCATCAGCTTCTGCTGTCTTGTCCCTGTCTCTGTCTAAGGAGCCGTTTCTCTTGTGTTTAGAGCCTGAGAAACATTTAGGGCTTTCATTGATCCTACTGAAACTTTTAGCAAGAGTCACAGACCTCACAATACCAGGCATAAACATGGTTTTCGATCAAGAGTACAAAATGAATGACTTGTTCCTAACCAACCCCCAAAGCAGGAAAGACTTGCAGCATTGTGAGAATTTTCTTTTTCATTCTTTGTTGACAATGCAATTCCCAGGTAGAATACGTAACATGCTAGCTGGTGTTAAGGATGTTTGTTGGTTTTGTGTTTAAATGTGAGAGAATGTTTGGATGACTTGGATGACTTGCTTTGAAACAGTGTACTTTGACACTGTCGTCAGCCAATGTAGCCAAGCCTGCTGTACTTCTGATAATACCCTCCATTAACTCTGGGTTCTGCTTGTTTCTTAATCCCTCTTTCACCCTGATCAGAACGCGCCTCCACTTCGTCTCCGACACAGACGATCACGCTCTGCGGGAGACAGATGGGTAGACCATAAGCCCACCTCTAATGTGCAGACTGAGACTGTCATGCAGCCACATGTCCCCCACGCCATCACGGTCTCTGTTGCAAATGAAAAGGCACTAGCTAAGTGTGAGAAGTACATGCTGACCCACCAGGAACTAGCCTCCGATGGGGAGATTGAAACTAAACTAATAAAGGTAAAAAGCGGTTTACACAGGATGAAAACATAGATTTAAAAGTCAGCTGCACAAAAAGCCTGTGCCCTGCTGCTCCTCACCCTGAGGCCACAGGCAGTGTCAACTGGAGCATTCGTGGGCACTTGGTGGCCCCTTTTTGTTAGCAGAAAATTAAAATCACTGCTTAGGTTGTGAATTTGTTAAATGGGGCTCAACGTGCTTAAATAGGTGCAGATTCTCAGGCTTCTTAGAATTCCAGATCCATAATATACTTTAATCACTCCTTAAAAAAATATACCTAAACAAACACCTGCCACCTTTGCTCTCTGTCAGTTCAAGATAAAAAGCCCACATGAAAATTTGACCTCAAAATTAGTATGAGCTGCCTAGTGCCATTTCCCATTGCCTGTTGAAGAACTTTCCTTTGATCATAGGGTCAGTGAATAATCAGAAAGTAAAAGACACAAAAAGCTCCTCATTTCAACTTCAGTATATTGGATAGTTGTTGTAATAAAATATAAGACTTACAATAATAAGACTGTACTGTGGTTTGCCTACTGTGGGTGGGGTCACAAAGAAGAAAGTTCAATGCCTTGGAATATGTGAACATTCCCAGCAGACTGCCTGGTCCTCAGTGCAGCTTCGTTTTAAAATTACAGGTAGATTAGCCGGGTGTGGTAGCACGCGCTTGTAGTTCCAGCTACTTGGAAGGCTGAGGCAGAAGGAACGCTGGAGCCTAGCAGGTTGAGGCTGTGGTGGCCGGGAGTGTGCCACTGCACTTCAGTCTGGGCGACAGAGTGAGACTCCAACTCAGATAAATAAATAAATAAAAATTATAGGTAGAACAAAAGGAATATTTTTCTGCAATTATGAATATCACTGATGACATCATATTGGACGGTTTTGTTTAGTGAGAGACGTGTACACACATTTCCAAAGTATTTTGATAGGCTGGGCTCGGTGGTTCAGCCTGTAATCTGAGCACTTTGGGAGGCCGAGCAGAGTGGATCACCTGAGTCCACAGGTTTGAGACTGGCTCGGGCAACTTGGCGAGACCTTGTCTCTACAATTTTTAAAAAAAGTATTTTGATAGTGCAGACCCAGCAGTCCCAAGCGCTACCTGGTTTTGTGGGTGAGAGTTTCCATAAAACAGTATAATCGTGAGAACAATTGAAAATGTGTATCTGTGTTTATCATCTAAAAGTATCAAAGTGTAATTGTGACCTTTTCTCTTGGCTTTAGGGTGATGTTTATAAAACAAGGGGTGGTGGACAATCTGTTCAGTTCACTGAAATTGAGACTTTAAAACAAGAATCGCCGAATGGGTGAGTGGTCATCAAAAAGTCTCTCTATATAAAGAGTTGTTTTCTTAGTGGCTCATTTTTGAGGAACAGAACATCCCGTGAAATTTATCTTCAATTCTCCAAAGGGACACAGACAGTATTTCCCTATTTCTAATATTTGTCCGGTCTTAGATGCAAAAATAACTGCTGCTTCATGTTTTCCCCTTTTCAGTAGTCGAAAACGGAGGTCTTCCACGACAGCAGTTGTCCAGCCAGATGGCACCGAGGCTGAATGGACGGATGTGGAAACCAGGGTAGGGGACATCAAATGTTTGCTTAACCAGCACCAGGCCTGGCATGGCCTAAGCTCCATGGCTGTAGCTTTTTGTCCTCTGGGAGAAGGTTGAGGTCTGGTCTCTCTTGGCAGGCCTAGTTTTATGTGTCCTCAAATCTGTCTTCCTGGGGCTCTTCCGTTCAGAGCCCCTGCTTTTGGTGTGGGGGGCCAGGGCTCAAGAATAGCATCACTGTAAAAGAGCGGGAGTTCCCTAGGAGCAGTCACAGGGAAGGAGCATGGGGAGGGGCAGGAGACTGATCGGGGCCCAGCCACTCATTTCTTAAGCACTCTGCTTAGCTCAAATGAGCCATTCATTACCTGGGCGGCTGCTGAAGCCTCTCTGTCTTGCACCCATAGCCTATGCCAGAAACACATTGTGAGAACCTGCTGGTGTTTTAACATGGGTGTCTTTGCTGGATTATAAAGCAGTGCTGGAGGTCACCCAGGTAGAGCCTGTGTGGCAGCTGTGGCAACCATGCCAGCCTGTGGAGAGGGGCTGAGCTTCCTCTTGTCTTCTTCAGTGTTCCGTGGCCGTGGAGATGAGAGCCGGATCTCAGCTGGGGCCTGGATACCAGCATCACGCCCAGCCCAAGTGAGCACCGACTGTCCAGGATTTGCTGTGCTCCCCGTTCTCCCTTCCCCATCTTCCCCTTGCTTATAAGAGCAAATGTGTGGCTTTGGTTTTTTCGCTTGGAATGTCTGGGCTCTGTGGGCGGGCTGCTGTGGGCAGGTGCAATGTGAGGACTCCGGGGGACTGAGAGCAGTGGAGGGTGGAGGGCGGGCGGGCTGGGTGAGAGCAGTCCTGGTGAAGGGCTGGCTGGCTGGGAGGTTGCCAGTTCGCCAGACTGTGAGGAGGGAGGCCCAGGGCTTCAGTCAGCCCTGTGGCCACAGCCTTGGGTGGTTCTCCCCAGATCTGCTTCTTGGTCTTTGTCCATCAAGAAGTGTTTCTTCAAGCCGTAAAATGAAATGACCGAATCTATGGTGGGGAAGGACTCACACCTGTTCCTCTATTAAACCCACACTCAGGAGTCTGGCATGTTCCTTTTCCATATTTTAATAAAACCCTTCTTTATAAGCATCTACTCAGACTCCGTTATATCCCTTGCATTCCTTGGTAGGCTGTCTGGAAAACTGTTGCAGCAGGATAAGGATGAGCAGTCCTGTTTCTTAGGAAATGTGTCTTAATTTGATACTAGATACGCAGTTTGTAACAGATATTTGCTTTCTCAGGGGGACTTGAATTTTCTCATGGTGAAACAGCCCCTAGAGATTAATTTGCTGTGAATATGTCACTTATTGTGATATTTGACACTAAATGTGGTTTTTATGTTTTAGGCGTAAGAAGCCATGAACTGATGATCTCAGTAGCAAGAGAGCGTTTTCATTTGTGTGGGCGATTTCTCCAAGGCCAAGCCAGGCAGAGTCTTCTGAGTCCCTGTAGGACTTCAGCTTTGGGGAACACCACAGACCTCAGCTGCACCCCACGCTGGCCTGGATCAAAGTGTCCCTTCTGGTTCCAGACACCCAGGATTCAGCAAGCTTTGGCTACTACGTCTCTGGCCATATTTAATATTAATAGAGGAACACCCTTCTTTTTCATTGCTATATGAACTTTTTTATACTGCTTTTTTTGTATATTTCTTGTATACATATAAACTAATTCATGCAAGTGTTTGTCTTAGATGATTAAGGAAGAATATATCTAGATCGTGCTTTATTTCTTATTGTGACTATTCCAGCTCTGATCTATTTCTTAAGGTTTTATAAACAAAACAAATGCTACTATTTATTAGCTGCAAGAATGCACTTTACACCTACTTGACAATTCAACCTTTCAAAATAAAGATGTCAGTGACTGGCCAATAACAAAACTATTTGGGGGAGTTGTTTTGAATTTTGTATGTATGTATTCATTTTCTGACATTTAGATACGCCAAAAGAATTGAAATAAAAGCACAAAGAAATAGAGACGTGTGGTGGCTGTTCAAGCAACACAGACCCCCGGCACCTGCACAAAGCCTCTCAGTCAGTCTCCTGACAACTGTTATTTGTGGGGTGGATTAAAAGAGAGCACTAGCCGGGCACTGTGGCTCACGCCTGTAATCCCAGCACTTTGGGGGTGGAGATAAGAGGATTGCTTGAGCCCAGGGGTTCGAGACCAGCCTGGACAACATGGCGAGACCTTATCTCTACAATAAATAAAATTAGCTGGGTATAGTGACACGTGCCTGTAGTTCCAACTACTTGAAAGGCTGAGATGGAAGGATCGCCTGAACCCAGTAGGTCGAAGCTGCGGTGGCTGTGAGCGTGTCAATGCATTCCAGCCTGGGCAACAGAGTGAGACTCCTACTCAAGGAAAAAAAAAAAAAGCACTAAAAAAGATCCCATAATTTGACGTTAACATGCAATACCTTTTTTGTGTGCAACAACTATGATATCTTCGTATGAAGTATGTGCTTCAAGACATTAAAAAAAAAAAAACTAGGCTTGGGGACAACGTAAGTTAGGAAAAGTACCCCTGAAATCATGGTTAAGTAGCCTTTTTTGTGTGAATGAACGTACATTTTGCTTGGATTAAATTTGGATTTCTTATCGTTTAATCTGTTTTTTTTAATAATAGTGAAGGTTTCATGACCTGCCTGGGCAGCTTGGTGAGAACTTATCTCTACTAAAAATCAAAAATTAGCTGGGCATGGTAGCGCGCGCCTGTAATTCCGGCTATTTGGAAGGCTGAGGCGGAAAGATCGCCGGAGCCCAGCAGGTTGAGGCTGTGGTGGCTGGGAGCAGCCACTGCACTCCAGTCTGGGGGACAGAGTGAGACTCCAACTCAAAAAAAAAAAAATAATAATAGTGAAGGTGTGATATGAATCCTTGCGAAAAGCCAATTCAGAGGAAAAAAGACAAAATCTACTTGCCACTCATAGTAAGTGGTAAACTGATATGTGTGTTTTTAGAACGCTTCAGAACATGCCAAAGGCTACATCCTATTTCAGTAGATACCGGGAGTTATCTTCCCATTTCTTTTTTATTTTTAAAAATGATACTGCTTAATCTTTTGAAAATACATCTTGACTTACTGATTTCCTGAGGCAAGGTCTTTGTCGCACAGACTGTGATGCAGTGCACAATCACAGCTCACTACAGCCTTGACCTGGACTCAGGTGAACCCGCCTCAGCTTCCTAAGAATCCGGGACTACAAGTGTGCTCCACTGCATCTGGCTAATGTTTTAAATTTTTTGTAGAGATGAGGTCTCCCTGTGTCATTCAGGCTGGTCTCCAATTCCTAGCCTCATGATTCTCCCACCTTGACCTCCCAAAGTGCTGGAATTACAGGCGTGAGCCACCATGCCCAGCAAAAATACATTTTAAGAAGCAGTTCTTACTATGATGGGGGAATGAGGGAAAGTAAAACTTACCTGAAGTAGCTGTTGAATCCACTAAGTCCTTGGACAACACAAAATAAAGGGAAACTCATGGGCAATTGACGTTTTGCCCAAATGGTTCTGTTAAGTAATTATCAGGAATCACTGTGGTTAGTTAGGTGCTGTCTGATACCCTGTAAAGGTATTATCTATAATTTATAGGTGAAGAAACATTATTTGCTCAGTGATCCCAAAGTCTGTTTATTTAAGTCACAACTGACATCAAAGGTTTTTTTTAACTTCTTTGCCATGCTAATGTTGTTTCTTTATACATTAGCTCACCTGGTGAATTTTATATGAAAATTTTCCGTTGTTTTGCAAAACAGGATTTTTTGTTTAGATCATTATACCTTAGGCTTTTTAGTGTTTTTGTTCCCAAATTTTGTAATAATTATCTGATTTGTACAACTCAGAGGCAAAACGGGCAGTAAGGACGTGGGTTCAGACAACGAAAGTGCTCGAAAGGCCAGTCAGAGATGGAGCCAAGCCTGGACCACTTGTCAACACTCAGTTGTGTTTCTGAGACGTCCCATGTTGCACATGATACTCCCTGCTGTGTGCCAGGCCATACCTCCACCCTCCTCCATGTTTTCCGAGCTCCCTACACACTTCATGCTGCACCTGGACCTTGTGCACACGTGCTGGGTGTCCCTGGGGTAGAGATCAGACTGAACCCGCTGGACTTAGGCCATGCGCCTCTCAGTTTGAGCCAGGTTTTGCCAATTGCGTTTCCACCAGCAACATGATCGTCTAATGCCTCACATACTGTTCACACTTGGCTACCATCCACCTTGTGCCAGTTTGAGGAATGAAGTGACATCTCACCGACTCAATTCGTATTTCCTGATTGTTGGTGAGATGAGTGGCTTCTCCTGTGTCGGGTTGGGTGGGTTTCATCCTTGCATGTCTGTGTGCAGTGTCAGTAGGTATTAGCCTTTTTCTCTTTGGTGTGGGACTTCTCCGCGTCCCCTCTGGGTACTGGGGGCTTCGTATCTTCCGCCAATCTTTTTTTCACTGTGGTTGTGGTACTTTTAAAATAAGCTTAATCATCAGAACAGTTGGATTTACAGAATTGTGAGGTTAGCCCAGGGCGTAGTGAACACCCACAGCCACTTCCCTGCTGGGGACATGTTAGTGAGGCTCATGCTGTAACTTACCAACACTGATTGGTTACTAACTAAAGCCCACATGTCATTCACATTTCCTTAGTTTCTACCTAACGTCTTTTCTTTGTTCCAGGACCCGACATCTCATTTCGCATTTTGCACTGTATCTCCTTAGGCTCCCTGGTTGTGACAGCTTCTCAGCTGTTGGTGATGGTATCTTCTGTATCAATTTTTCATTTTAATGTAAGCAAACACCAATCTTTTCCTTTATATTTGGACCTGAAGAAAATTCTCCACACTCTGATACCATAATATTCCTCTATGTTTTCTTCTAGAATTTTAATTTCGCTTGTTGCGTATGGTGTTAGGAAGGAATCAGAACATTCTTTCCCCTTGCATAGCTGGGAAACTGATTGTTTCAGTATGGTGTTTTGGAAAAGGTTCTCCCTTTGGATTTGTCTAGCAGTGTTTCTGACATTACCTAGTTCCTATACGTATGAGAGTATTTTTTGGTTCAATATTCTATCCTGGTTTGTGTGTTTATTTTCATGCCAATCATTTACTTTAAAAATTTCATCCATGAGCCAGGTGTGGTGGTACCCACCTGTATTCTCAGCTGCTGGTAGGTTGAGGTGGGAGGATCACTTGAGCCCAGGAGGTCAAAGCTGTAATGTGGGATGATTGTGCCTGTGAATTGCCACTGTACTCCAGCTTGGGTAACACAGCAAGACCCTGTCTCTATTTAACAAAAATAAATAAATAATTCATCCAGTATGAATTTATGAGTGCCTTTTATGTGACGGGCACTGTTTTGGGCAAAAGGAATGCTGTAAAAATCAAATTTTTACCTTCAATGGAACTTACATTTAAGTAAATCTTCCTTTATGACTTTAATTCTTGCTTATGATTGGCCTTTGATTCTTCCATTTAAAATATAAGGTCACCTTGTCACGCTTCATTTTGATGGAATTTTGATAGAAATGTCATGATTTGGAGAGAATTACCCACTTCAGGATCACCCCAATTGAACATGACATCTAACTCCATGGAAGTTGTCTTTGATGTTCATAAAGTTTTATCATTTTAAAGTGAGTGGTCATGCACATGTTAGATTTGTTTCTGTTTTTATTGCTGTTGTATGAGGTTTTTTTTTTTAATACTGCATTTTATTTTGAGTAGGAGTCTCACTCTGTCTCCCAGGCTGGAGTGCAGTGGCACATTTACAGCTACCACAGCCTCAACCTGCTAGACTCAGGCGATTCTTCTGCCTCAGCCTTCCAAGTAGCTAGAACTACAGGCGTGCGCCACCATGCCTGGCTAATTTTTTGGTTTATTGTAGAGATGTCTCACCAAGTTGTCCAGGCTGGTCTCAAGCCTCTGGGCTCAGGCAATCCTCTTGCCTTGGCCTCCCAAAGTGTGGGGATTACAGGCATGAGCCACTGTGCCCAGCTTAATACTGCATGTTATAATTGACTGGGTGAGTACAGGAATCCTGCTGGGTTTGTATATTAATCTTGAATCTGGAAACCTTGCTGAACTACTTATTAGTTTTTGAATTGTCTATAGATTATCCTGGAATTTCTGGGTAGACAATCAGCATGAATAATAAGAGTTTGTACATTTCCAATTTTCAATTTTTTTTAAATAGAGAGGTGTCTTGCTATGTTACCCAGGATGGTTCTCAAGCTCCTGGCCTCAAGCCATCCTGCTTCGGCCTCCCAAAGTGCTAGGATTACAGGTGTGAGCCATTACGCCCAACCCCTTTTCTAATCTTAATACTTATAATTTCTTCTTCTCGTGGAGATGGCTGGACTCTAAAACAGTAACTGACACAGAAGTAGAGAAAGGAGGCATCCTTGTTTGTTTCTGATTTTATAGACATTTCAAAAGTTTCACCTGATGATTGCTATAAATTTTTGGCAGATATCCTTTGTCAAGATATGTCAGTTACCTTCTATTACAGTTTTCTAAGTTTACGTGATTAGCTGTTCAATTTTATCAAGTGGCTTTCCTGAATCTATAAGAATTCCACTTAGGAGTGCAGGCCCAGTTGAAAGGTTCCCGTGGCTCTGGGAAGATGGCAGCAGCTGGCCATCTTCTGGTGCTGGCCACCAGATTGTGCACGGCCCACAGAGCCATAGTGGCTGCAGGCAGCACAGGTCCGAGGAGCTGCAGGTGTGACTGATGGGAATGAAGTGGCCAAAGCCCAACAGGTTGCTTCTGGGGGAACAGCCCCAACCATCTTCTCCAGGATCTTGGACCGTAGCCTCCCAGCTGACATTCTATATGAGGACCAGCAGTGTCTCGTGTTCTGTGATGTGGCCCCTCAGTCTCCCGTGAACTTCCTGGTCATTCCTAAAAAGCCCATTCCTCGGATTAGCCAGGCTGAAGAAGACCAGCAGCTCCTAGGACACCTACTCCTTGTGGTCAAGAAGAAAGCAAAGGCTAAGGGCCTGGGAGATGGATATCAACTTGTGATCAATGACGGGAAGCTGGGTGCACAATCTGTATATCACCTGCACATTCATGTACTTGGGGGCCGACAGCTCCGGTGGCCTCCAGGTTGAACTTGCCAACTGAACAAGGACCCCAGACATGATTACTTGGATGGGGAAGGGAAAAAGGAATACTGTGATGCTAATAAAACTGCTCTCCTTCAAAAACAAGAATTCCACTTAGATTTCCCTCTTTATTTGTTAGCGTAATGACTTATTTTTAGACTTTATGAGGATGAACTCTCTTGTTTAGTTGGGATACCATATTTTTAAATACAGTTCTGGCGGGTTATTAATATTTTATTTTGGATTTTTGTATTTATAGTCACAAGTGAGAAGAACCTATAATTCACCTATCTCTTACTCTAAGGTTCTGACTTCATTACTATGGTTGTAAAACTATTTAGAGAACAAAATTTTAATTTGATTTAAAGAGGTTTCTCATAGGTACAGTTTCAGATGAGAAACACTTCTGGTTTACAGTATGCAAGGAACTATTTGCTGGATCTGTGCTTGGTAAGTACACTGGGAGGAAAGACTGTTTTGGACATGTTCATTCCAGCTCTGGAAATGTTTGGATTTTTTTTTTTTTTTAGTAGATTTAACCCTTCTTCACCAAAATTCCACTTATAATGGCTTCTTAAATTTAGATGAAAACGTAAAACAATAATAATGAAAAGTTGAATAGGCACTTTTCTTTCTAAGAAACTTGCCCATGGCAGGTCTTTCTGCCGTGAACCTTTCTTTTTCCTTCTCTTCCTCTCGCTAATAAACTAATAAAAATAAACAAAAAATCGGATAGGTTTATAACAGATTTTTAATTTTAGATTTTAAATTTATTGTAGAGACGAGGCCTTGCCAAGTTGCCCGGGTTGGTCTCCAGTCTGTGGGCTCAGGCAATCCACTCGTCTTGGCCTCCCAAAGTGCTGGGATTACAGGCTGAGCCACCGAGCCCGGCCTTAATAGATTTTTTTTAAAAGAAGTTTATGTTAGTGGCTAAGACTGACCCAAGATTGGTGGGTTCGGAGAGAGGAGTTTGGCCAGGGATAATTCTGCCATGGCAGGGACAGGAGAAAGCACTTCCTGAAAAACAAAGAACTCCGAACCACCTTTCCAGTCAAGTAGGCGAATTCCAAGAGGAGCGAGAAGAATCCATTTTTGGAGGCAGGAATTACTTGTAGCTCATACAATAGATGACAGACGGGGGCTGCGGTCAATCTGCCAAACCAACAATAAGAGGCAACATTTACCCACCCCCGGCTCCCCACGCCCCTCCTCCGCCCAGGCTCCCGGCCGATAACTAGCCCTGGGCTGGCCATCAGATCTGACCTG